GCTCAACAGGGTAATTTGAAACCCATGTAACGACCAGAGACAAAATCATCCCATGCATTAAGAGATCCATGGATTGTCATTAGTACAGTGCTCAATGCCATGACGATACCTACTGCAAACACAATGATCGAAGCCCTCCCGTACTTGGCTATAACCTTTTTAACCACCAGTAGTACGACCAGAGAAGCCACAAAGCAGACCAGAGCGAATATCGCAGCTGTTCCAGCGTGTTCCATGCCCAATATAAAGTATTGTATTGCAGACATTGTTGAAGAAAATAAAACCATGAAAGAAGATGTTGCTGCAGTTACCTGTATAGTAGATAACGATTTAACTTGAGAAACTAATCGCTTTGTTTTGGCAAGAACACAAGTCAAGATTCAAGAACATACCTCAGGAGCAATGCCAATTTGGAGAAGCAGAGGATTAATGAGCATTCCACCACCAATACCGAAAAGGCCACCTAAAACTCCAGCCAATAGAGCCATTACAGGGAGCATAAACTTGTTCAGTCTTGCTACATGACTCGTTCTCATATCATCTCCAGTCTCATGTGGATTTCAATTTCAGATTCACCAATCCAAGTGAGTTTAATCAAGTGGACGTAGTATTATTGTACCTTTTCAGAGTCTTGGATATGTGATGTGTGGCTGCTTTGAGCATTGTCATTGAAGCAAATCCAAAGAGTGAAAAAGATTGTGAGAGGTATTTGTAGAGACGAGAGGAGCCAGTAAAGAGCTCCACATGGCTTGATCGATATGATTCCCTGTGCAATTCCAAAGTATGAAACTTTATCAAGTTAATATTTCCAATTCAGTCATTTTATAACAAAAAGGTCAAAATTTATTTGCACCATATAGCTGTTCCTAACCAAAATCACCCAACAGAAAAAAAAGAGTTCTAAAGTTTTGGTAGGAACTCTTAACACTGTAAGAGTAATTGTTACTTGATCAATTGAATACAGAGTAATACACAACTTCTATCATTTCATTGTTTTGTTTCCTTTTCAATATAAAAAATCACCTAAACAAATTTCCTGCTTTTAAATTACAAAAAAAAAAACTCAACGGCAGCCTATTTTCACCTTTTTTATATGTCAAGTTTTGGCAATTTCTAAATATCTAAATTTGTGTACATTATTTGCAATTTCGCCGTCATAAATATTTAAAAATCCTCAAAAGTTAGTTATAAAATGTGCACAAAAAACAAAAAAAAACGTTAGTTATAAACTAAAATATTTTGGAGGGAAAATGAACAACAACACACAAAACTTGAGAATATGATAAGAGTAAGCAGAGTATCTTAAAAATGTGTAAAAAACTCAATTTAACCAACCAATATAAATAATTTGATTCATACATACCTGACCATATTTGTTTCCACGAAAAAGATTAATGAAGAAGAACAATAACCATATGATCACTAAAACTCCAAGCTTCTTCCATGGAAGCCTCCTCTCTCCTCCTTCCTCACCCACAAGAAGCGGCGACCTCACTCCGTCGTCTTCTCGCCGACTATCTCTGATCTCCGACTCCGATCTCCAGTAAAAAACCCCTTTTTTGCAAGTCTTCATCGTCGTCCACGCAAGAAAAACGGCGAAGAGTGACGTCACAAGCCAATTAGGGAACACACGGTTACATATCACTCCGATACTAACTCCGAGAAGCAGACATGGCTGAAGAACAAGTGCTAGATCGAAATCGATCAGAGTTTTGCCTCCGGCTTTTCTCATGAAGAGATTGATTCCGACGTTGGCCACGGAGACTCCGGTTACCATGAAAGCAGAGAAGCTCGATGCGGTTTTCATCTCGAGACCGGCGACGATCGTTATTATCGAGATGAAGAGACCTCCTCCACCGATTCCTCCGGCGCTAGAGATCGATGCGGCGAAGAAGGAGAGAAAGGCGGCGATGATCGTGGAGATGGAGAATTTGATGGTTGGTTGGTTGAGATTTGTTGAGAAATTGAGCCATTGGCTTGTTGTGTTGAGGGTAGTTGAAGTCTCTGTTGTTGTATCAGATACTGCAATG